ACTGCAAATGAACTTGCCAAAAAAGGGCTACCAGTTACAATGCTAGCATGAAATGAGAACCCCATCAAAGAAAATTCAACTCCGCTTGATGATTTTCCTTGTTCTCTAACTTCTTCTTTACTCTGTCAGCGACCTTAGTTGAGCTTGAATGCCTCATCATTGCTTTATTCACTTGCTGGAACAAGAAGGATCCATCAGTTCACGTGGTGCTTCATATGATGACAACTTCGAGCCTGTTCTGAAAATATTCTGGAGCTGCTGTCCCCGCATCAGCACTCGATTACGCTGCCTGACCCTAGCCATGTTGTTTTCTTAGAATGCAGGCTTCTTGGAGACAAACTATTAACTTCAAAAATGAAGCTGCTGTAAGCTACTATGTGATCATGAGGTCGAACAGGATATAAATGTTACTTTAAATGCTGATTTTTAAATATCGATGAGAAGCCCTCCCACAGTGGCTGACAGGAAATAAACACCAAGCTATGATATACCTTTTGTATAAAGCAATAATTTAAAAAAGCAATTAAAGTAACTTTCAATAAAACCCAGCAGTCCTGAAAAATTACCTAACGCACACATAAATAAATGAATCCCATTTTGTTCACCCAACAATGTTGTGGTGATAGACTGGGCTGAATGATGGTGATTGATCCAAGGGCAAACAGTAAGTTTCAGGGCTAAGATGGAGCTGGATGTGGGTCTCTGGAGTTCAGATCCCACATTCTAGTTCTCAGTGATTCGAATGTATTACATTCCCAAAGCTGTTTAGGAGGAAGATGGGGAAACTGGCACAGAAAGGGATCTTTCTCTTGATTACACGGAGCAAGCCAGTTGTTCTGGCACTGGTTAAAAGGGTTATTATTTAATCCACTCAGCTGAGTTCACAGTGATGCTCTGCAAAAGCCTGAGCTTGTTCTGCTGCGTATTGACAACAAAGAGGTGCTTCCTGCTTGCCACAGCATGATGGAGGCCTTGGGCTGCCACTGTGCTCTGCTGGACATTAACATGACATCAAAGAAGAGCATCAAAAGCCTCCGAAATCACAGCACCAGATGTAAACACTGAGGTCTTGTGAGGAAAAAAAAAAGAATGAGGAAATATTTTCATGCTGGGGTATCAGAAAAGCTTCCAAAAAGTTGCAAGACTTTATGTTTTATCATACTCGAGGTTTATAGGAATGGGCTGAAAACACTTATACAGAATCAGACCCACAGTCCATCTGGCCTTCCATTGTTGACACTGACTGGCAGCTGCTCTCCAGGTACTCAGGTGCTCCCATCTGGAGATGCCAGTGATCAAAACAGGGACCTTCAGCATGTGAAGCAGGCACTCTCTAAGCAAGAAACATCCCCACAAAAGAGCACACCAGAATCAAAGATAGTCTATGTCGGTATAGGTGTGTTTCAGACTTTTATATATGGAATTTAGGTGCACACACAGTGGATGTGTAGCACATCTACAGACCTTTTTGCTTGCTCGCTTGCTTGCTCGCTCGCTTCCTTCCTTCCTTCCTTCCTTCCTTCCTTCCTTCCTTCCTTCCTTCCTTCCTGCTTTCTTTCTTGTTCCCATTCCCATTGGACAGGTTCACAGGTTCCAGACCTCAAGCAGTTTGATTTAAAGTCTTGGTGTTCTTCTTGGCCCAGGAGTTGCAGGCATTAAAAGCACCCTGGCAACGCACATTTTCTGTCTTACAGGTTGCTGGACTGAATCCCCAATAAGGTGATATTTTGGTTTTGTAACAATCATTACTTAAATTCCCAGAGTCCAGCTGAAGTCCTTTTAGGGCTGTGATGTTCTCTTGTTAAAATGTGAACTCTGGTTGTAGTTGTTGGTTAAAAATATGATCTCAGAGCTATATTTATATCATATTGTCAATAATGGTGCTATACTTTGCATTTTTGAAAGAAGTGATTTCAGAATGGGCAACATGGGAATAGGAGCTTGTTAATTTCAGAACAGTTAGAGTTTAAAGCAGGATTCTTGAATAGCAGGGAGAGCCCAGCTACAGCTATCCTTGCTTTGGTAACCTCTTCTTTGAATTACTGCAATGCGCTGCATGTGGGGCTGCCTTTGAAAATGGCCTGGAGACTTCAGTTGATCAAAACAGGGCAGCAAGACTGTTAATGGGGACTGGCTCATGAGAACACATTACTCAAGTCCTCTTCCAGTTACACTGGCTGCAGGTTCAAGTCTGGGCCTAATCCAAAGTGCTAGTACTGATGTTTAAAGTCCTAAATGGCTCGGGGGCAGGTAATCTGAAGGATCACCTTGTCACTTAAGTACCTGCCCAGACCATGAGGTCATCTTGAGAAGTCCTTCATCAGGAGCCCCCTCCAAAGGAAGTGAGGTTGGTACCAGGGCCTTTTTGGTTGAGGCACCCCAGCTGTGGAAGAGGTGTGCCTGGCACCTACTCTGAATGCTTTTTTCACAGCATGTGAAGACCTTTTTATTCTCCCAGAATCTTACCAGTTTAACGTTTAAACTGCAATTTCATTGCATTTTCTTCTGTACGGATGCCTTGCTTCTATGCTGATTCATTTACAACGGCTCTAACAATTTTGTGGTTTTAAAGTAATCTTGTGTGTGTGTGTGTGTTCAACTTTTGCTGACTGCCCAGAGAGCCTTGGCTACTGAGCTAGGGTTAGGTTAGGTTTAACACTAACCCTCCCTCAACTTTGGTTAGAAGGCATCCAGAATTCATACTACAGTGCCCTGTACATATACTGTAATCTGTTAAGTTTCAGTAAAAGAACTGCACCTCAAAGCATCACCCTGAGTTTGGTAACCAGAAGGAAAGAGGGAAGGGACTAGTTCACAACATTTCTTTCCCTTCCACTGCAACCATTCCCATTCCCATTCCCTTTCATCTGCTTTCCTTTTTCGAAAACAGCAGGACCAGTTCCCACAGTCTGCTGGTAGGAGCACGAGGGAGCAATTCAAGGGAAGGAAGGAGCTTCTCAGCCTTTTTAAGGGAAATGCAAAGGTGCTCTGCTAAGGCACTTTCACGAGTGTGCACTGTGCAGGGACAGCAGGTCAGGCAAAACGTTGGGAATTCTTTTCTGGATCAGAATCTGGTCCAATGAAGAATGTGGCAGTCTGTAAAACTTCCCTTTCATCTTAAGGCAGGCTTTACGAGTCCTACTCCACCAACACCACATTTCTGAGCCTTGTTTAGGACAACGTCACCCAGCTAGGCCCTCTCAGAGATAAAGAGAGACCAGAGCCACATTCATTTTTGAGCCCCCAACCTTGGATATTAAAAAAAGAGAGAAGGGATGCCAAAACAGGGTTACAAAGGCAGGGAAGGAGCCCTGTTTGGGGCAGCACCGCAGGGTTACTTGCAGTGGACTGAGCCCATAGCTCATCAATAGCAATTGGATGGGCTGATGCAGTTATGAAATCCCAGCGATTTCCATGTGGACAAGGCTACAGTGCTGTGCATACTTACTTGAGAGCAGGGCCCACTGAACACAGCAGGGCTTCTCTCCAGGTAAGCCTGCATGGATCGGGTTGCCCATTTTCCAGGAGTATGCCCCTGTATCAAATGATAGAAGCTGTGTAGGACAACGACGGTGCTGCTAGGAGTGTAAACAATTCTCAGCAAACAGCAAAAGCTGGAAGCATTTGTAGCCCACTGCTAAACGGTTTACTATTTCTGATCTTTTAAAACATACTCATATCGTCGCATTGCAACAGCTGCTGATGGTGCCAAAATAATCGAGAACTGTATGTAAGCAAAACAATGTAAATGATGCCAGCATGCCCTCATGTGGCTAGGCCTTGTACATTCATTAATGTATACATTGCTTTCTGATGGGGCTGTGATTCTTGATACACTTACTTGAGGTATGCCATGCTGAACTCACTGAGACTTTCTTCTAGGCAAACTTGCTTAAATTCAGGCTGCATAGAAACCTGCAAACCAGTTTTTTGCTGCATCCCATTCCATTTCATTTCAGGTAACTTTTGCTCCTTGCTGAATATTGCCCTATGGTGTAGTGGTTAAGGTATTAGACTGGGGATCTGGGAAAACCAGGTTCTAGTTTCTCCTCAGCCATGAAGCTCAGAGGGTGACTTTGGGCCAGTTGCCAATGCACCACCTAGCCTACTTCACAGGGTTGTTGTGAGGATAAAATGGAAAAGAGGAGAAGGGCTAGGAAAGCTACTTTGGGCTTCTTGCAAAAGGAAAAGGTGGGGGCATAAGTATAATAAAATAATAACTGAGTCTCCTTGATTTCAATAAGTCTGCAATAAGAAGGATTAAATTTGGATCCTCCCAATGTTAAGATCTCCGGTCAACATTATTTCCCTATCTATCCAGTGATTTTCTGATGCTATTACCTTGTTAAAGAGTTGTTTCTGCCTTACATTTGGCCACAGATGCAACTCATTGTGGCTTTTCAGAGTCTGGTGGAGCACCCATGCCCATACAACTGGTGTTCTGGCTTCCACAGACCTAGGGCTGTGTGTCTTTCCAGACAGTGAAACTCACAGCTGGTCCACTGCTGTGAGGCTCAAGATCAACCTTTATTGAAATCCAACATAAGCAATTCACAAATACAGAACAGGCACTAAATACTTGAGGATAGTGAGTTGATGAGTTGGATGAATGAAATAAGATACGATGCAATGAATTAATTGGTGAGGTGAAAAAATGATGCAAGGTTAGTCCAAGGTGACAATCCAAAGCAACGGTAGGCAAGCAACATGGAGGTTTCTTCCAAATGATGGAGGAGCTGGTACAAACCAAGCACCACATCAGGACCTGATCGGTTCCTAACAGATACATGCAATTATAAATACCAGGCCTAGAGGGCAACATCAGAGCATACTGTCCAGTGGAGCAGAACACTGAGAGAGCCAGTGTGGTGCAGTGGTGAAGAGCATGGGACTGGGACTCAGGTGATCTGGGATCTAGTCCCTGCTCAGCCATGGAGCCAACTGGGTGACTTTGGGCCAGTCACAGACTCTCAGCCCAACCAACCTCACAGGGTTGTTGCTGTGGGGATAAGATGGAGGAGGAGATGTAAGCTGCCTTGAGCCCTTGGTAGGAAAAAGGCAGGCTATAAATCTCAATATTAAATAAATAAATAAATAAATAAATAAATAAATACACATCTGGGTGTCAGATCTGTGGGACAAAGTTTGGAGCAAATGCGCATCAAATCGTCCAATGTGTGTGCCTCTCTTTTACGGCTGGCTCCAAGATGCTTATCCAATGTGCAACTTGCTGTGGATGATGTGAGCATGAAAATGCAATCACAGGTAGGATCCTCATATCAACTCACATCAGATCAATTGTAATGTTTTTCAGTGTGATCAGTTCAGGTGCCAATTACTAGATGGACAGAAATCAAGGGCAGAGAAATCGACGCATGGAAGTGAATGTGCAAACCAGGCTTAAGGCTTTGGGAATGTTACGTCTATTAACACAGCAGGGATTTTAGCTCTGCTCCATTTTTGTGTCATTTAATCAAGTGCTTTGAACTCATTATACAGAAAAGATATTTCGTAATATCTGTGGTAATATGGGCATATTCTGTTTTTCTCTTCTCTAAAGCCCAGCTTTTCTGCAGCCTTCTTTGATGTCATTTCAAATGAAATGCAAATGGTTCAGCAAATGTATTATTATTTCTAGTTATCTATAATTGAGTGTGATTAAAATTAGAAGGAAAAGTTCAGACATCCCACTCTTTCTTTCCCCTCTCCCTGGAGGTGTAGAAACATTGTCATCTTACGGAGGTACATGTGCTATTAACCCTTTCTCCCTCATGAATTTACCCAAAATTCCGAAGTTTGCAGGGCCACTCTGGTTAGCTCAGTTATCAGTTGGCTAACTCTGATAGATGCCCTGCCATGCTGTGATCTAGTAACATCGGGACAGTGATAGGTGCCTAAGCACTGATGTGGATAAAGGTGAGGTCTAAGATGCACAATGCCCTCATTCTGCATCCCTGAATGCAGGGGTGCAAACATGGGCTCCAAAACTGGATTGCTATGGACTAAATGCAGCCAGCACCATTTCTTAAGGTATTGCCCAATTTCAACATGATGTTCTAGTTGGGAACCTTTGAAACCACCCTTTCTGAAGCATCATCCAACCAACCATGGGAAAGTGTTTGCACTGAAACTAGAGAGAACTTAGTAAGAAGAAATTAGTGAGCCTAATATTTTGAATCATACACTGAGCAAACAGCTTAATATCTGGACCCCCTTCCCCTTGCTGCATACACCCAGCATATGCCCTAGCTAATTTGATGTGCAGAACTGTTGCTGAAATTCCTCCATCTGCCAGTGTTGATGGATTTAATGTGCATGCTGAAGCACCTGCAATAGCTTTACTCTTCAGTCAGTCTTCTTGGCTGCCAGAATCCTGGAAATCTATACCACTGCATTGCCTGTTCAATTTACAGAACAAGCTGGGTGTACGATTTCCTATTATCTACTAGCCTGGTAGTCGAGAATTTGATGAAATAATCATTTTTGAACAAGTTCATACCTGTTGATGCATCAATAGACTGACACATCAGTATGTTCAAAGGTCATTCAGAATAGTCCTTTATATAGATGGGCAGCTCTGTTTGGTCCCTAGCCTACCTCAGGAACCAAAGATGCTGTTCCTGGGCAATGCATTGCTATTTATATGTAGATGAGGGGTGGCAACTTCTGGCAATGCAAATGCCAATTTTTGTCATCTCCTAACCTGTCAAGTGTTGTAGTCTCTCAAAATTGCAAAAAAGAGGGAAAGCTCAGATTCCAGATGAAATTTGGCAGAGTGGCAGCTTAGAATGGACACATTTAGACTGAAAATGCCAAACTGTGACTTTCTGCACGTAAACATAAACAAAAATGTAAAAGTGGCCAGGGATGGCCACACTGACAAGTGGCTGGGTGTGTTGTCCACCCTGCTTTATATGAAGCTGCTGGGAATGATAATCTGAAATTTCAGAATGAGGTGGGAACTGGATGCTGTTGACAACCAGCTCATTTTTTCACTCTCAGCCGCTCCCAGAGAGCAACCGCCCTATTAAAGCACTGCTGAGTGTTTTTGGTACTACCAATGGGGACAAGCCACTTTAAGGGGAATCCAGAAGGAGGAAAGGATCTAGGATCTTTAGCTTGTGAAAGAGAAATCTCCCTGAAATTTTTTCCTCCCTACAGAGGATCAGGTGAATCTGGATTTGGCCTTACACCCAGAGAGTTGGATGTTCGCCAGAGTTGAGTGTTGTGTATGGCTTAACATCAACCTTTTCTAGAGAACAAAGACTTAGCTATTTTTGTCAAAGCATCTGTAACTCAAGCATAGGCTACTGTAATATACGTTGTCTGGAGTTGTCCTTGAAGGGTGTGCAGGAAGTACTAAATGTGCAGAATGAAGCAATTCATCCTTTGCTGAGATGGCTGCACTGACTTTCAAGTGACTGCTCTGATTTCCTACAAGCTTCTGAACTCAATTTAAGAGGCTATTTTTAACTTTTTGAAGTCCCAATTCAAAGCCCAGGTTCTGCACACCTTAGAGATCACGTCTCTCTCTGTGGACCTGCTACTTCATATTTCAGTCTAATGTAAGATCTACAAGAACATGAAACAGCATTTTCTCTGTCTCACTCCAAGGTCCATTGTCCATTTGTCAACACATGAAAAATTGGTTATCCAAACAAGCTTTTGGTATGGTAAAGGCATTTGAATACATTTGTATTGATGCAAGCTGCTTTGATTTTCTGTTTAAAGATGCAAGGCATTGCATTTCAAATGAATAAATACAGATATCAGAAGATTTGCCAGCTAGCTTTCTGGGTGGTTTGCTTTTTGTCTGTTGCAATCAATAGGATTCCCTAAAATGTTCTTTATTGTTATTCTATTAATCCCCTTGATAGTATCACAAACATTTTTATCAGAGTGCTTGTGATGCCACTTAAGTATCCAAAAAGAATGTTGTCAGGAACAATTTACTTCTTTTATCTGCAAGAAACAGATTTTGACATGATGGAGCCAACATTTAAGTCAAGTGGATTTTGATAGGAAAGCTCCCACTGAAATCAATTGGATGTATAAGTGCTTAACATTGATAGGATTGTTCCCTTAATACATAAGCCTAATTAATGTCAATGAAACATGACAATCAAAATGGTATGTCAGCATTTTAGAGAGCATGAGGCAGTAGTGTGAACACATCTGCCAACAGAAATGTTTGGGGCTGGTTGGTTTATATCAATCACGGTATTTTAGATAACAGAATTGAGACAAAAGAAAGATTGCAATATCCCTATCCCTATAGGGAAAAGCAAACCAAAATTCTCAGCAAGGGTCAAAAGGCATGATCTTGTAAGCCATCCAGAGACTTCTTAGTATTAGGATGGCATATAAAAACTTTAAATAAATAAATAAAATCATGGATATATTCAAGACCAAGTCATCAAGAGAAGAAGAAAGCTGTGCCTGTTTTCTGCTGAGTTTGCCAAATTTGGCTGTGCTAACAAGCAATTTAATGCAAACACAGTAGCTAGTGGGCTCAGCATTAGGGGTTGCCCTGGATGGAGAGCCGTGGAGGTCCTGGGACACATTTGGAATATTGAGAGCATGTTGTGGGTGCTGTCACAAAATGGTTACCACAGGAAGTGGGGTTGCACAGTCATATAAGCAATCACAAAATACTAATATCCCAGAAGACAAACAAAAAGATAAATAACTTGGCCAATAACTTAAGTAGAAGGCAGATGTGGAATCTGAGCTCCAAAATACAAAGCTAATTTCTGAACCAAAGCAAAGGCGCCACTGGAATGCAGCACATTGTTTGGTAGCATGGCAGCATCATAGTTTTAAAAAGCTAGCAATTAAAACACTTCAGAAATAAAAAGAAAGACAGGAAAGACAGGGAGCCTGCGGAGGAGTCTATGGACCTGCTGGTGCCCATGGAAACCGTGTTGGAAGTCCCAGACCTAGTGCAGAAAAGGTTCCTACCCCAGTCTGGCTGCTTCTAGGACATGTTTCCTTCGCAGCACATTTGGAGCAATCGCAAATGATGGGAAGCCACTGTGGGTCAGAGCAAGGTGCCAGCTCAGCCCCCATTCAAAAGTACTCCTTCCAGCAGCAGCAGGAAAGCCTGAAGGAAGCGCCCCACTGCGGGCTGGTGGTGGCTGTGGGCCTGCCAATCGCTGGTGCCAGTCCTGCTAGCTAGCTCCAAAGCCCTGGTGTTCCGAATATCATTTCCACATCTCATCCTTTCCTTTTACAGGTTGATTCTCTCTGTGTTTAGTCAGAAGGAAGTCTGACTGGGGTGTTCCTGGAAGTGTGCATACATTTGTGGCCTCAACTGGAAACATCCAAGGGAAAGTGAGACCGTAAGGGAGAGAGAGAAAGAGAGAAGAAATGGTAAAAAGGAGCAGGAAAGGAGAAAGAGCTAGAACAGCCCGCAGTCCTTCAGATTCTCCTTGATGATTATGTCGGTCACAGCATCAAACACAAACTTAACATTCTGAGTGTCTGTAGCACAGGTCATGTGGGAGTATATCTCCTTGTCCTCTTTTCTTATATTAAGGTCTAAGAACTGGTTCTTGATGTAATTCCCTGCATCTTCAAAGGTGTTTGGACCTAGTTGGAAGAAGACAAAAGAAACTGTCCAAAGAGCATGCCAGACTTTAAAACCGTGCCCTTCCATTAAGTGTCTGATTCAGAATCCAAAGACTGACTCAAGCAATGTGTCATGCATGAACTCTTCACAGCACGTCAAAATGTCTCTGAACTTCTTGTCAGGACAAGCCAGAAATCTCTTTTTATTCACATAGACAAATCACAGACAACTAGTAAGCAGACGTATTTGCTTCGCTTTCCAAAAACTATCCTTTTGCAATCTGTTATTTAATAGAGCATCTTCTCCCCGCCCCTCCTAAGTGTGGCCACAGAAGTGTGTGCCGGTGTCTGGAGTTTATAAAACAACTGTAGTGGAGAGGAGGAGGAAGAGCAGTCAGGCAAGCAAGAGGGAGCAAAGATGAGAAAGAGGGGGAGGAACAAGAGCAGCTGGTGACGGTGGTGATGCGAAGGAAGGTGAAGCACCTTTAGAGGTGATGGTGAGAAGGCAGGCTTAGAAGGGAGTTGGGTGTCTTGCCCAGGGCCCCGGGAAAACTTGAGCCAGCACTGACCTTCATAGTCTGGAAAGCAGACACGGAGATGGACTTTTGCTATCTTTTCTTGGAATAGATCTTTCTTGTTTAGAAACAGCACAATAGAAGTGGTAGCAAAGTACTTGTGGTTGCAGATGCTGTTGAACAGATGGAGGCTTTCGTGCATTCTGTTCTGTGAAAATGCAGAAAAGTTGGCTATTATATGCCACCACTATCTGTCACTTTGATTGTAATGCACTTTTCCTATTAGGGAGGTAGACCTTTTTTGGATGAACCTCTCCAAGCTTATTAGGGCAGGGAATATGAACAATCCTCTTAACAAAGCATCTAAAGCTACCTCAAATCTTTTCCAAGCATAGCAAATCTTTCTCCCGTGGCACCTCTCTCCCTCTCTCATCTGCTCTTCTGACTCACCACTTCCTCGTCTTCTACTAAGACCATGTCATAGGCACTGAGGGCTGCACAGAATATGATGCAAGTGACTCCTTCGAAGCAGTGAATCCATTTCTTCCTCTCTGATCTTTGTCCTCCCACATCAAACATCCTAGGAAATGAGAGAAATGATCAGCATCTATTCCCCCACCCAAATGTTTCATTCGAAACTTTTAGATGGCCATTTTTCACAGCTGCTCCCCATGTATTGTGTGCGGTGCCCCTGCTTTACTCACGGAAAAGCTGCTGATCTTGTGAGAATCCTGGGCTGCCACAGCTCTCTGATGCTCTTGGATGGCACAGCACAAATAGGAGGGGCTTATTGGGTGTGGCATTGGGTCTGTCAGGATTAGATCAGCTAGCATTCAACATGCATTATTATTGTTACTATATTTGTTTTGATGAACACATTTATATTATACATACATACATACATACATACATACATACATACATACATACTCCTCTTGCAAGGAACCCAAGGCTGCTTCCATGGTCCCCACCTCTCAATTTTATCCTCATGACAACCCTGTGAGGTAGCTGAGGATGAGAGTCAGTGACTGGCCCAGAGCAAACTCTGTGGCTCAATGGGGACTAGAACCCTGATCTTCTGAATCCCAGTCCATCATTCTAACTGCTACCTCACAGATGCCATTACATAATAAGTGGTTTAATAATAATCTAGAGCTGGAGGACATGTTTTCTATCTCAAATTGCCTTGGTCAGTGGATGTCAAAAGAAAGCCAAACATACTGCAGAGAAGACAAGAGGCAAAACTTTCATACCAAGCTGCCTAGTTTCCAGCCAAAACCCAAATCCTAGGAACAAAAGCCAGAAATGGAGAACTGTCTCTGGAAAAACAGGGAAGCTGGAGCATATGTCAAAGTGATCCACAGCTCTTATATCATTTGTTTGCTATTTGCTTCCCTAATTCAGTAAATAGCATGCAAAGCATTTTACAAATATTGTCTGATTTGCCTTGGCCTCTAACAACAAGAACCCCTTTTCAAATATTAGAATTGGAAATGATCTATGGCACAAAGGACAGAGCAGGCAAAACAATTTAGTCTGTAAAGCTTGCCTCACAAAAGTCAGGGCTTGTGGCAATCTGGACCGGCTTGTTCAGAACTTATTATTATTACCTTACATTTCTGTGTCACGTGTAGCTGAAGCTCTTTGGCTGAGTGCACAACATTTTAAGTCACCCATCCAGATTTCAGCCAGGCCCAACCCTGCTTAGCTTCTGCGATTAGGCAAGATCAGGCACTTTAGGCTATACCTAAGCATCAGACATGCATGTTCTGGATCTGCTGCATTGTCTGCCTGTTTATTTCTGTGTGAAATTCAAGGTAATGGTCATTACTTTTAAAGCCCCAAATGGCTTCAGACCAAACTTCTTGAAGAATCATCTCTTCCCATATGTTTCTGCCTGTTCTTTGAATAAGTTTTGTGTCCTACTTGCACGTCCCATTGCTGTTTGAGGCAAAAGTAGTGGAGAGTGTGCGAGAGAAGGGCTTTTCAGCGGCAGCACATGGGTTGTGGAACCTCATCCTCCAGGCACATGGCTTGTCTTCCTTTTGATGTCCTTAAGATTCTCTGCTCAGTGATGAAGATCTGGGGCTGCCTTTGGCTAAAGAGGGTTTTAGTGTGCCATGCTGAGGTTTACCTTTTTGCTGTTTATCTGGCTTGCTCCAATGTGTGCTTGACTGTTTATTTTAATCTCTTAAGTATGGATGAAAAGTGTTGCTGCCTTTTGATATGGTATTGTGCAGAAGGAAGGAATGAATGATAAATGTGTATTTTGCCACTGATTGCATTTCTGAAGCCTTTGATTCTGTTCTTGTTCAGTATAACTGAGTTGTTATTAGTTATGGCTCTTTGGAGTCCTTTGTCCTTGATGTTGCTTTTCAGTGACAGATCATTACGAGTGCTTGCATCTGCTTTTATATTTTGATAACTGCTTTAAGTAACTTTTTTCTGGAGGGGAAAAACAGGATATACTTTTTTCCTTTCTTGTATAAATTATATAGAGGGACAATTCTATGGTTCTGGACACTGTTGGAGGGGCTACAGGATATCTGGGATATCCAGATCCAAGATGAGAGACAATATTCTGGCCTCAGAGCTGGAGGTCAAGGCTCTGACCCTTCTCCTCTGTCCTTCACAGCTGGTACAGGAAGAACTGCACTAGCTACTCTCCAAGGTTTGGAAAACCACCTCAAAGAGGGATAAAGGGCAGCATTTCAAAGGGCAGGAAGAGGAGGATACTGGAGAAGCCAGGATATGAGCTATCCTAGGTCCTTTCCAACCTCCTTCTTTGTCCCCAAAATGCTCCAACTTGACAAGCAAAGATGCTTGTCTAATGAAAATGCAGGGCAGGAGAAGAGGGTGGCACAGGATTTAGCTCTGCACTAGCCTCTGAGCTCAGGCACTTATGGGCATCATCACTGGATTGCGCTCCAAGTCCATGTTATGGAAGGAGCACAAGACAAGCCAGATCTAGGGGCAAAGTGGGAAGAAAGGACCTAAGCTCAAGAGATGACTGCAGAATTCCAGTAATGGTTTTACCAGTATTTGTCAGATCTGAACCTATATTAGAAAGATCTCAGATCAGTCTGTTGCATTGTTCCCCGCTACTATGAAATGGATTTAGATTGCCCTGCATGGCATCTGCTCAGGAAAGACATTTTGCTTCCTGATGCGAAAGAGAAGACTCCCCTCCTTCCAGTTCCATGTGCAGACACTACAGTGGAATCTTCTTCCCTGGTGATGGGACAGCATCTTCCACCACTCCAGAGGACAGCAGGGTGGCTTGCAGGGCATGCAGCAGGCTCTGTGGAACCCTGAACTCTCCATCTCTGCTGCCATCTCCCAACGGTAAGGCCAGACTTGTGGTTGCCACCGCAAGTGAGCTGTCTGTGTTGAGCAGCTTATCACACAGATTTGGCCATATTCTTCACAAATCCCACCACCTATATCCTCTAATGGTTTGGAGATCACTGATCTGCCTGTAAAACGACTCAGCATGGTGATTGGAAGCAACCTCCAGAGCACACCCATACTATTTAAAGCAACTGAGAGCGACTAGACATTCAGCCAGAACTCAGCAGGGCTCTTTGCAGCACCTGACATTGTTTTTCTCCCCATCAGCCTGACAGCACATGTCTAGAAAGTTAGTCTATCATGGCTTCTGAAGAGCTTTTGAAGCAACACCACTAGAAGAACTGCATGGCTCCCCATTGATTTGGGGGAGGCTCTGGTTGCTGGTTGTGTCATGGCTGCCACACCAAAATCTTCTACTGCCTTTAAATCCATTCCGGTTCCAGATCCAGCATGAGGCACACCGCTTTGGCCCTGATCTGAAACCATATGCATACCCATGAAACGTGGAAGGAAAGGAAACATTAATACCTGAAGTTCAAGTCCTTGAAAGAAAACTGGGTCTCAATAATCCCCGTTGTCTTTACTCTTGAGCGAAGGACATCTTGCTCATTTGGAACATAGTCAGGAGCTGTTAGCCTGTCCAGATCATTGAGATAGCTACAGAAATCAGAGAAAGAGAGGGATTAAGAATGGCTTAAGAATGGCATACCCACCAATATGTTCCAGGAACATACCTATGCATGGGTGAGTGAGGCTGGAGCATGGCCTGGCAGTCTGGTGGCATGAGTTGGTGGGCAGTGGCAGGCCAATACAACCTACATGCACAAGCACCACAAGCCAGAATTAAGACTCAGGCAAGCAGGTGGATCCTGATGACCAGTACACTGAGGCAAGGCGTACTGCACTGGGGGTAGAGACGCGTAGGCTAGAACATCCAGAGGGCCATAGCTCTCTTGACTCTGCACCACTGGGTGTTCTGCTCGGGCTGATTGGTGCCATAGGGACCAGAACATCTGGAGGGCTACAGGTTGCCCACCTCTGTGCCACAGGGAAAGTCAATTATATAAAATATATCCCTATGCACTATTATTGCATCTAAAGGAACATTTAGAGGAGGAAATCAGCATATGTCTTTCAAAGAATACATGCTGGCTATTTCTTTGTTTGGTTCTGCGGTGACATTAAAATAATAGTGTTGGGCATCAGCATCGGTGAATCGATATACAAGCTACACCCTTATACTGAAGATCCATGCAGGTATTTACCTGCAACATGCTTAGAGCTAACATGGTGATGGGATGTGAGACAGAATGCTCCCTGGGTTTCTACCAGTGAGAGTATTCTAAGAGCATCCAGCTGATCTCTCAGGCTCCTGCACAGACCTTGGAAGTCAACACATTAGGGCCTGTGAGTCAGACAGGGGCAGGGGGGTGTTCTGCGGCAAGGCAGGGCATTGCAACGTAAGGATCAAATCAACAAAGACACTATCCTGAAGTTCGGATCAAATTTAGTAACATGATTTCTAACGGCCAAACTACGTGTGATATTCATTGTGTGACATGTCCTTGAATATTTCATGAACTTGCATTTGAATGGGGACCCTGATTTAGGAAGGAAAGGCACTTTAGCCTCCCCATGTGCTCCTGCAGTCAAGGGCAAACCACACAATTAGCAATATTTGTAGCTTGGCCCGAGATGTGAGTGTTTCAGTGTGAAGGACAACTGGCACTGAACATACGCAGACACTTGCAGACTACAGAATTCACTTACTAAGCGGCTGAGTCATTGAGCTGGTACTCGGATGCTCTTTCAAAGCAGGCCTGGATCCCTGGATCCTTCCACAACTTTTTGATGACTCCTGCCAGGACAGGACACATGGTGCCATCTTCCATGGAATCTGCTGTTGCCAAAAGCAGCCGCTCATCTTCCTAAACGAAGGGAAATGAATCTCACCTGTGCTTTTCTTCTTTAAAAAGCAAAACCCATGGACAGTTTGGGATTGGCATTGAATGTTTTAAATAAAGAAGATTAGTTACCATATTACTATTGTATTATTAATTTCATTTTATACCACCAAATAGCCAAAGCTGTCCGGGTGGTTTACACTGACAACCTGATCCATTGCTAGTCCTTAGAGGGGGTTACAAGACTCGAACAGATGAAGGGCTGTTTGCACAAGGTGGAATGCTCTGTTCTCAGAGGCTCTTGAGTAACGTCTGCCCTGGTGATGGCAGGGTGGGAAGAGGAGGAAGGAAATTCTGCCTCTCTCCCTGCTTCTCCAACCACCCCCACCCTCAGCTAGATGGATCTCTAAGCCTTTCTGGCCCAGTCACTTTTGATGGGAGGAGACGGCTGGTGGGGCCTGGCCCTTCCCTACCCAATGGAATGCTGCCTTTCTGATGCCTGCGAAGGCTTCCAAGGTCAGTGCTGCAGCCTCAGAATGCAACCGGCACTGTTCTTTCTGTGACGGCTTTTTAAAAACTTACTTTTTATTGTGAAATTCAAAAGCAAAACCAGACCCCAAAACAAAAAACAAAATGGGAGGATAATATTAAATTAAAATACAATATTGCAATTTTCTTAATGAAATTTAAGTAAATCCATTACAATGCATATATTACATATATATGTGTGTGTGTGTGTGTGTGTGTGTGTGTGCATTGTAATATATATATATATATGCATATATATGCATATATATGTATACACACACACACACACACATATATATGCGCATGCATATAGATTTGTTTAGACAAAAAGTCGTGCCTGACCCATCACAACCCCATGGAGAACATTCCTCCAGGTGCACACATATATATATGCTCAAAAGGGTGCACCAAATCATTTACATTGGCTTTGTATTACGTTCCAAGAGGTAGGCAAATAGTTAAAAAGAACATGTGCATCTGTAAATATTAAAGAGCTTTCTATCACCAATCATACCTGAATTATTACCTCCTCATAAAGGAAGTAGCCGCTAGGCATTGGCCAAATGTAGGAATAAGAGAAGCTGCATTGCATCTCCAACCATTGGCCAATTTAATTAAGCCCTTATTGAAAAGATGTTTTGGTGTTCAGTTTACCTGAACATCAATTTTGGCTGAATTAAGCATAACATAAGATCTGTTACCCCTTCTGAAATAGATGCCAACAAAGCATGCTACTGATTAGGCAAAACAGGATATTTTGGTATTCCATTCTGGCTTAAGTCCCTATGTATCCTATCTGTTTACTGATAATGGGTATTCATAAACATGGACTAGTTATTCAGCCTCAGTCAATACTTCCAAGGACAGAAAGGCCTCTGAAACTGTAAAAGTGGTGTGGCTGAACCTAGCTTCCACCACATGTTTCAGTTGCATGAACTGCCAGTCAGCAATCGCTGGCAAATCCTATTTAGCATGCAAAACAGAGAATAGCAGGAAATTATTGTTGGGACTTGCAAGCTGATGCAAAATGAAAACCAGAGCATCCACTCATTTCTTTCCAGTTGTTAAGTTTGGATTTTCCTTTAGAGTTAATTCTGCATGTGAAAATAGATCAAACCGCAATGGACATGACATTATGCAGCTCACCCCTCTAACTGCTGCAGCTGTAGGAGGCACCCAATCTGTTTTGAGATGCCAAAAACCCAGTGCAATCCTTTTAGGCGGAGGATCTAAGCATGAAGATTCCAGAACTGTCCAAGGAGAAAAGACTAATCTGAGCAGAAATGACCAACATTTAGTAGAAGTCAGCAAAGGCCTGAGGGTGGGTAGGGAAATTGGAGGAGCCGAATCCACCCTCTTTAACTGAAATTTGCATCCTTTTCAAAGATAGTCATGGTAGAATGGGAGCCCACAAAACAAAGCATATAGTTTTTGAAAATACTTACAGGATACAAATAGAGGAATAATTCATAAAATGTAGACGATTTGAGGTATTATATTCATTTTAAGTATATTCACCCAACCCCATACACTTAAGTAAGCTAGTGTCTCATTATTATATTAATGTAAGATTAATGTCTCATGCGATCCCATTAATCAGCTTACCTTAGTCATTTGAGTTCTATCTCTAGGGACAAGTATTTCCAAATAATTAACGAACTCTGGGCAGATTCTGGATTGCCAGTTAGCTGACACAATGTGAAGTATAGTATTTCCAGCTAACATCAATTCAGATTTGATCATTTAATAGACTAGCCATTTAAAAATCATCAGCTGTTGATGGATAAATCCTATACAATTATGCACAAAACCATGAATATTAACATTTCTAAAAATGCTAAAAACACACCCCAACAGCTGATAGATACAATGCAGCAACAGCAGAGCTGCATCTTTTTCAAGAAAAAGTCCTCACTAGCCATCAGAACACAGATAAAGAGGATGATGAGCCAAGCCATCAGGTCAGCGATTTCCAGTACGAGCCTCCAAGAATGCTCTCTCTTTGTGGTCTGAAGACAACAGCACACTTGGGCACGCAGAGACAGCTGTTGTTAGAAGACGGGCAAGAGAGGAGATGGCCTTTTTGCCTTTCAGTTAGCCAGGTCCCCGGCCATTTGGGACTTTAAAGATGATAATCATCACTTTGATTTGCACTTGGAAACTGGCATCCTGCACTTCCATTTGTCATTTGTTCTTCAGAAGTCCCCTCTGAATCATGCAGATTCCTATTAATGGCGCTGTGTGTGTGTGTGTGTGTGTGTGTGTGTGTGTGTGTTTGCACAAGCATTCAGAGGAGAGGAGCAGAAGCTGTCTATGGGGAGCAGCTCTGTCACTATTCCATCTGGCATAAATTACGCTGGAGGGCAGGAGCCATTCTCCCTACTGACTGCCAGCAGAAAATGCTGCCCCAAATCTTTGGAAAAATCCCTCCCAGATCAATGAAATGACCCTGAATGTGCCATTTGGGAATGGAGTTGTAAATATGTGTATATGTGATTTTTTTCTCAGTCCTATATTAGGAAACCAAATTGCTTTCTAACACAAAGCTTGGGGTGGTCTTTGACTATCATTATCATTATCATTATCATTATTATTATTATTATTATAACATTTCTATGCCGCCCCTTGCCGAAGCCTCGGGGCGGCTTACAACACAATAAAATACATTGAAATACAATAGAACATAGTAAATTATGTTTATTATGACTAATAACAGGCTGAAAGATGGCAAGCACAATCTAGGGCATATCCATTCTGAAGTTAGTCCTGCTCAGTGAAGCTTACTCCCAGGATTGCAGTTCAGTCTTGTGGCCAAGCTCAACTTGGAAACACATTTGAACCTAGAAAGTGCACAGCGTATTAGTGCTAATGGCTCCACACCAAGACAGCGCCTCCTCTTCAATACAGCAGTTCTACTAGTGACAGCAGCTTTTATTACTGTAAGGACTACATGGAAGTATATGTGAGTTTCTTGGAAAAATTCCCGGACAACTGAAAATAATGTTATCACACCATTGCATCTCCATAGCTGGCGTGGCTCCTTCAGCCACAGGCATGGATGTCTTTATCAGTTTTATGAGATCAAGGAGTTAGTAATCTATTGTGATAAAAAGTTGACTTTGGAGCAAGAATCCCTGAAAAGAGATAGGTCCCTGCATTTCAGTTCAGTACAGTACAATTCAGCGGATACGTAACATTCAGACATTGACCTTTGGGATAGAATACAGGGCCATCTACTGATATGGGCCTTTCCCAATTATTTGATAAAGGACAGAGATATTTACATGCAGGTATATATTTATTTATAAGGAAGTAACAGTCAGAATTAGATGGTATCAGCTCATCAAGCATGTTGTCTTCTCCAATCCTGTTTTCAAACAGAATTTAACACTAGGGATGGGCAAAAATCACCAGCCTTCATTTGCCACCCAATTGGCAAGTAGCAGATCAAACTGGCTGCTTCGGGGGTCACAGTTTGAGTCCCTGAAATGACTTTATGGGGGAGGAGTGGAAGCTTATTTTTAGAGTGAGGGGGGCTTCTTGTGTCATATTTCTGTAGCCCCTCATTCCCTATCGGCACTCCTGTAGGGTGGTGGGTAGCTTGGGACCACAGAACGGTGGGATGGGTGAGGAGGACTCCTATGGTCTGGATGTACACAGATGGGCAGTGGGGGGGGGGAGTGACCAAGAAAATGGAATAACAACTGGCAAGAACTAAAATTTAATTAAATCTAAGAAGGAAAGAGGGAGGAGAGAGCAAAAGACCAAATGAGCAACATAAAGTAAGTTTCTAATCAGCAAAATGGAAAGAACCAGATTCAGCAGTCAAATGCTCTGTCAATGTAGGGCTCTTTCCTAAGACCCGACTCTAGCTGTGCATCTAAGGACTCAAAGGCAGCCGAACCAGGTCTCAGTTACTGATATTTGGTTGTGGAGTTAAAAACAGAGCTGCTCTTGAACACCTTCCTGGTCTTTTCTCACTCCCTTCAGGATCTCACTTCTCTGCCTCTCTCTTCACTGTTGCTTCAGAACTTTTCCTCATGGTCTCACCTCCTTTTCCCTACCCACAGAGCTCCCCCTTCTGCTGGGCCTCATCAGGGTGGGGAAGGGTCTTGCTGCATCTACCAGAGAGCTGCACCACCAGGGATACATTTCCTTTCATGCCTCATTTCCCAACAGGCTTTGAAACCGTGGCTAAGCTGGTGCAGCAGTGGCAACAGCAAAATGCTTGCCTCTGGTGCTGTCATTTGATCTTCCCAGGCTGCCCCTTGGAGAGGTTGCTAGACAAGATGCTGGGAAGGAAGAATGATAACGAACAGCATGCTTTAAAGACTATAAAATCAACACATTAAATTAAAGGGAAGAAACTTGCTTCCTTTCGTGGCACAATCTCTGCCAACCCCACGAAACAAACATAACCCCTTCTCCTTCTCTTCCATCTGGGATTTTGCTCCAGAATTCTCCCCTCTCCAGATTTGGGTGAACCCCCAGGATAG